TCTTTCAATTATGACTTCTATGGACTAATGAATAGCTATTGAGGAACTAATAAATTGTTGGTATTGTGCTAAATTTAAAGAATAATATGAAGTAAAGATATGTATTACTCTAATTATAGTCCCTCCACAAAGAAATAAATAGGAAGGAGAAAGGAGATTCCAACTCTTTACACTTACCGTGATTTGTTCACATTTTTAAAAATGATTTTTATCATTCATCATATTACTAAGTGTCTTAGATTGAGAGAAAAAATATTTCAAATTGCCATTTTTAAGGCATTACTTATTTGTTCAATGGAAATAAAAATAAATTAAGACATAACAGGGTAAAATAAATGTGAGTCTAAAAGTCATTACCATGTCATCTAAATGTTTTAAAGATAATTTAATTTTTATATTTTATCTCACATCATAATTTTTAAAAATAAAAAAGAACCTATTGAGATAACATAATTATAGAGATCAAATTTGAATGTGATTTTTAAGAAACTTTAGCTAAATTTTCTTATTTAAAAATAAAGAAACTGGAGTTTAGATGGGTTAAAGTACTCAAGAATGTAAAAATTATTTTACATTTATTTTATTTTATGTAAAAATAAATTAACATGCCCTTTGAGATATTCATATTAATGTGGAACAAATATATTTTAGAATAGTATCAAACATTGTTCCTTATAATGTAGGAAAGTGGAGGGAATGTAAATATTTTAGTTTAATTTTTTAAAATTGATTTTTAGGAAAGAAGAAGGAGAGAGAAAGAGAAACATCAATGTGAGAATAAAACATTGGTTGGCTGCCTCCTGCATCCCCCCTGACCAGGAATGGAGATGGCAACCTTTTGGTACTCCAGATGAGAACCAGCCAACTGAGTATCATTGGCCAGGGAAGGGGGCATGCAAATATTTACATTGCCATCGAGTTCAGCTATAAATTATTCTCATTTCATTATCAAATAAAAGCTGATAGAAAACTTATGATAATATAGTCATGAAAAATATATTTTAAAAACTAATATAATGTTTATTTGCAATTTTGACACTATTGTCAATACACTCCAATTAGCTTATATGTATATGAAATTACAGTGTCATAAAGTCTACCTATTTTGTTAACCATAAACATTACACATTAATGCACATTCATGAAATGTAAGTAGATATATATTTAGCTGTGTAATCACAATATTATAAATGCTTCACTCTGGGAATCAGAGACCTTTGAAGTTAAGTTGTAGGATGTTTATAGTGTCCTGATTTTTTTAAAAAATTGATAGCTCAAATATTTTAAATTTATCAATGAAAATAGAATTCTGAAGATCTTATAATCTTTGTTCATTTCAAAATGTATTTGAATATTAATTATGGGTCTGTAACTATGACTGTAATAGTAAACAAGGTAAACACAGTCTCTATCCTCTAAACATAAAAAAGAGAAAAATATTTATAATATAATACATTTTGACATGGAGAAATTGTGTCATAGTAGAAAATTAAAGTACAAATTAATTTTTATGGAATTGTATTTTTATAATTTTGTTAGGTTTTAATTTACATTTTTTAATGTATAGTTTGATGTTTGACCACTATATACTGCCAGGCAACCTTCATGACAAATATTATATTTCTATCACACCCAAAGTTTTCTCATGCCCTTTCCTAGACAATATTCTCCAAATCATGGTTCTGATTTAAATCACTATTGATTCATTCTGCCTGTCATGAAATTTTATATAATAGAATCAAGCTTATGTCCTTTGGTTGTCAATTCAAGTATAGGAGTTTAAATTCTTAGACTAAAATTGGTAAGAAGAAGAATTCAGGCAAAATATCAAGCTTGCCTTTGAAGGATGTTATAATAAACAATACCTCTACATTTGGCATGGGACCCTGACACGTTATTTATTATAATAAAAAGCATTGTTCTATATTTTTATATTGAATTTTATATTTTTATACTAAATATGTGAATTTTACATACAAAATACTTTCACAGTGTTAAGAAAATTAACTTTATTGCATCATTTTTATGTGTGTGTTTTTTTTAACACACACAAACAGATATCTGTGTGTTTCTGAAACAACTGTTTTTATTTTAAGAATTTTGTAGATTTTGTAAATAACAAGGGATCTTTTCTCATGTTCACTGATTAATGTCAACATCTGGCCCACTCCTGGCAAAACATTAGATTTATGTGATTTTTATATTTTTATAATAACCTCATTTCTAGCTTCATTTTATGTTTAAATTCTGTTGAAATTTTTTAGTCTACTTTTTTAAATCATCTATTCCTATATTTTTTATGTCAACATAAATGGAATTTAATTAATCTAATCAGTTAAACTAAAGATATAATTTATTTTCAAATTAAATTATGCTTTTAATCATTTAATAATTAGCTCAGAGGACTATACAAAATTATTGTCTTTACCTCAAATGTAAATTTTATTTTACATTTATTTTATTTTATGTAAAAATAAAGTAACATGCCCTTTGTTATATTCATATTAATGTGGAACAATTATATTTTAGAATACTGATGAAAAGTCTAGGAAGCAATATAAATAAATATAATTTGATATATGCTAGATACATATGACCCCTTGTTTTGTGTTTATATGCATTGAACTTTCGGAGGTAAAGTCCATATCCTACCAGCTGTTACAGTAACTCAGTCTTAGCTCATTACTCCAATTAATCTAAGCTTATTATCAGTGCTTCCATCTTCAGGCAAATGGAAAGTCAAAGAATATAAAGAATCAGTGAATTTTATAAGCTTAATTAGGAGGAAAAGAAGCTTCTACACACTGGAAAATTCTTTGATCTCTAACAATACCATATACATCCTCAAGCACACATTTGAAATAAACGCTTCAAGGCATAAAAATATAAGCTCATAATAAAAATTATTGTTGAAGTTAGCCAGCTGCCTTTTCATTTATAATAAATTACTGTTATACCAAACATACATGGCTTTTAGTTATTCAAATATTGTTAAATATAAAAATTGCAATTCCTTTTCCCTATTGAGAATAAAAATAGTAACAAGTTTCTTGCCATAAGGAAGAAACTAATTTCTAATGTCCAAAATATAAATATTTAAACATGTAGCTTAATCACCTTAAAGACAGAAAGAATGTGGCAGACACAGTTGGCATTCATTACTACTTCAGAGTGAACATATTGCTTCATAGCATGAATACAAATGCATATATTTAAAGGAAATATGTAAAAGACCACAAAACTAAGTTGACATTAGGTATTATTGAATTTTTGAGAATTATGCTTTGTCCTCTATTTTCCAGTTTGTAAACACAGAAAACAGAAATGTCTAAAATTCAATTTAGACTGTGTTTAAATATAAAAACAAGACCCGGCTGGTGTTGCTCAGGGGCTGAGTGCTGATTTATGAACCAGGAAGTTACGGTTTGATTCTGGTCAGGGCACATGGTTGGGCTATAGGCTTCATCCCCAGGGTGGGGGGCCACGCATGCAGGAGAAAACCCATCAATGATTCTCTCTCATCAATGATTTCTCTCTCTCTCTCTCTTTCTCTCTCTCTCATTTCCTCTCTGAAATCAATAAAAATATATTTTAAAAATATAGAAAAACAAGACTAATGAATATTTCTTGACATTATTTCTGAAACTCTAAATAGAAAAGCATTTTCTAAAAAAAAAAAAAAATACTCTCTACTACAGGTTGGTTAACTGCAGAGTTATGATTCCCAATTAGCCATGCCCACCAAGGGTGTCTTCCAGGGAGTTATATTAAAGATAGGCTCCAGACATGGCAAATGTTTGACAAGGATATTTTTCCATGGCTGGTCAGGTCTTGGAAATACTAGAAGTCTTCTTTCTGACCAGCTTCAGGACATTTTATTCCACTTGGCAGCTGAAGTCAAAGTTTGTGTATGAGAAACACACTGGCATCTGTTTCTGATATCTGTTCTCCTAGCTCACTTCAGGGCAATCACTTGACTTCACTCTAATTTATTATTTTGGAAATGAGAATAACTATACTGCCATCTGTGAAATTGTGTTCTGCAGACCTTTTGAATAAGAATCACTAGGGGGACTGTGCAAATATTCCTGAACTCCACCACATCTCTATCACATCAGAATATAAATTGTAGATGTCAAACAGATTGTATTTTTTAAAATATATTTTATTGATTTTTTTACAGAGAGAAAGGGAGAGTTAGAGAAATAGAGAGTTAGAAATATAAATGAGAGAGAAACGTAGATCAGCTGTCTCTTGCACACCTTCCATTGGGAATGTGCCCGCAACCAAGGTACATACCCTTGACCGGAATCGAACCTGGGACCTTTCAGTCCGCAGGCCAATGCTCTCTCCACTGAGCCAAACCAGTTTTGGCCCCATTGTATTTTTATTATAATTTTCATTCAGGAAAAAAATTAATGTCCAGAAAAGTTACTCTGGAATCAGTATCTGGATGTCCTTACCACCAGGATTCAGTATGTGCCATGTATGTGCCATGCATGAGACTCCTAGCTCAGCTGTCAATCTGCATTCAGAAGAAAGGCAATCTCTGCCTCAGAAGACCTGGACTCCCAGAATGGAGTTGTTATTGTTGGTTCCAAAAGACACTCTTCCTATATTATCCAAATGCTAGACTATTCCAGTGACAAAGGTACAACTCATGGAGATCTGGGTAAGCTCCTTAGGGAAGAAGTACCACAGGGACCAGATATTCTCATCAAAGTGCTCCCAAAATATGGCGGAGTCACAGAGAGTGTGTCCTTGTTGGAGAATGTGTGCTAAAAGTTAATCAACATAAAGTTCCCTGTGGGCAGGTGAGCAAAGGTGTTGTTGGCCTTTGGCCTGGCAGCCAGCACCTACTCACATTCACCCACCTACTCCTCAGGTGTGGGAGCAACCTCCGCTTCTTTTTCCCCTTTCTTCTTAGCCTGGGTTTCTGCCCCTCTTCCCCAAAACTCTTCTCTTCCCGTGTGGTGTGCTTCCATGTAGTTTTCTTTTTAGGCTGGCTGTCTGCAAGCTTTTTAACATAAAACTGGGCCATCTTCTCACAGAGTTCTACCTTCCCCAAGTCATATAGGAAGTGGTACTTTCTAATGCAGGTGAGGAACCAGCAATTGGTATTGGGTAAAGCCTGGCAGTTAGAAGGCTCTTGGACTTGTTTATAGAGACACAACAGGGTGCAGACAACTATAACATATGCGAGTGTCACACACTTAAATGCCCACCAGAAAAAGTCTTCATCTGCTGGTGAGTATCCAGCAGCCCCAGAATTTAACTCACCTCCTTCACATTCTCTGTGGCCTCCTTCTGATGTATGAAGCCCAAGGTGAGGAACTCTATCAGCAAAGGTCATCCATTCACCTCAGGGGCTTCTAACTCTGGGGCACTCACACAGTAAGCAACAATACTGCTGACAAACAACATAACCCATGGTCACACTAAAATTCTGGAAACTTGTTGGCAAGAAATTTATGAGGGAAATTGAGTTGTGAGGTTGGTTTGGCCAAACTGGAAGTAAGGTGGTGCAGGGAGCACGCCAGCCAGAGCCCCACAGTACTAAGCAGCAATGAGGTCCTAACATCCCTTCAGTTTTTAGGGCATGTTTTCAAGATCCCAGCCACTATGGTGATTTCACAGAGGAAGGAGCCACTGATTCTTCTTTAACAGCTTTAGCACATATCCTTACATGTTCACTCCAACCATCAACGTCATTCCCTAGTTGCCTCATCACAGCACCATTGTATAATAAATGATTCCTAATTTATCACCATCTAGCCCATCCTCAATCCTGACTTATGTAAAGCCAGAATGCTCTTTCTAAAATGCATATATAATTATAGCACAACTTACTCCTAAAAATACTTCCATGTTTCTATATCACCTATTGAATAATATCTATAATCATTTTCATTAATATAGAATTCCATTATCTTACCCTTACCTATTACTGAAAATGATTGCTGACAGGTTTTCTGTCTTTATCTTCTCCTCCACCAGACAATTTATTTATAGTTTTCCAAATAATAATAGAGTTTTTCTGTACATTGGCATATATTCTTTCATTTTGAAAAGCTCTTCCACCTATTTGATGACCTGAAAAATGGTTACTCAACTCTAATTCAAGTATATTGTTTGTATGAAATGCCTCTGCTTTCCTAGTTTTGGTTGTTTATCTCCTTGTGTTCCCATTATGTTTTACATGATCTTATCATTCTTAATTTCTACATTATTTTGAAGTATTCCTTTCTAGAAAACCATCATTTATTCCAAGATTTTCTATTGTTAACTTCTAAAATACTCTAAGCAACCCTATTTTTAATCACTTGACTCCCCACTCCCTAATTCATCGGCAATCAGATGATAGCTGAACACCAAGTCCAAGGTTGCCTGTTCAATAGACTGAACATAATAGCAAGTGAACTAGGTGACTATATTTTATTTTTCATGAATTTGAATTGGACATTATGGAGGAAATAAGGTAATTTTTAGCAGAGACGAAAGCTGAAAAGGGCTATTAAAGGAAATTCTGAGGCAGTTTATGACAAACAAGGAAGAGTTAGGCTCATAAATGTTCATGGCATGCCGAACTTCTAAGGAAGCAAAAGTTACAAGTAAACAGGAGTTGTATGGAAAATCAAGTGTCTATGCACAGTGGAGAATAAGACAAAGTAAACTTGCAACAAAAAGGGAAAATAACAGAAATTTAAAAAGGTCATTAGTCATATTATAATAGAGCACATAATCATTAATGATTCTGTCCAGTCTTCTGTAGCTAATATTCTCAGTACTGCCTTAGATTTCTAAGAAACTTATGTTTCTAAGTTTTCTCAATTGTCTACAATGTTATGATTTCTCCCTGCATATGGCTTAATTATGCACTTTTTTTCTTTAGTTGAACAGTTTCTCTTAAAACATATTCTTTATTACTAGAAGTAACTTGAATGACTCTCTTCCTTTTAACCACTCGAGCCTAATAGAACTTTTTTTTTTTTAACCATAATGTAAATTTCACACAGGCTGGCATGGTCTCATCTTTCTCATTATATAAATATAGTAAGTACTTTTCCTTCCTCTAGTGCTAACTACCATTAACACACCCTGTCTGTCTCCAGAATATCTTGCTTATCTGAGAAGTTGCCAATTTAATGCAACCAGGACAATTACAGTTTACAATCTCTTAAAGTAATTACCATGAGGAAGTGAAGAGAGGACAGCTGGTTAAGCTAAATTCTATATTAAAAAGATTAGAAGCACAAAATTCCTGATTCACATATGAACAAACAAACAAGGCTGCATTATATCCCACAGTGACCACAATGAGTGTCACTAATGATAATAAAACCAGCTGGTTATTGGGCCAAGAGAACAATATAAATCTACAACATATAGAATGGATACTGAAATGAGTACTTTCACTGGGCCCATTTGTAAAACCTATCCACTTCCTCAAAATTTCCCTCTTAGGGCTCCCAGATGGCCCTGAAATTCTGAATTGTGATTTGTTTAAGTGACCCCCTTTTCTTGTATGTAAAGTCTCAATTAGCTCCACCTATCCCAATATTTCCCAGTCTCTTGCCAGGTCTGGAAGCTTCTCATTTCGCACTGTCACAACACAAAAGTTCTCTTACAGTAAGAGCTCATTCATCATTCCAAGATCTTCTCCTCTTAGAATTTAAGTGATGCTCTACATCACCATTCACCCACGAACAAAGCTACTTTGAGTAACCCAAATATTATTTATTCTTTTATGGGTGATAAAAGTATCTTTAAAGTATCTCTTTTTATAGAGTCCTTGATGAAACAGAAAAAAAACCCCACACCAAACGTATACAAAATTAAATAATTTTTGGCAGAGTGTGCTAAAGCTTCAATAAATAACTTAATTTATGGATCATTATTATACTAAAAACAAAAAGTTGAGATTATGGTCATAGCTTTTTAAAAATAGTACTGTTAATAAGGCTAAAACCCAATTATTTGGTGATCACAGCAGAAACAATGTAGCAACATTAATAATCCCAGAGTTGGGATCCATTTTCATTAAACTCAACCCTTAACAATATGGCTTCAGTGTTCTTTCTATTTTAGAAAGAAGGCACAAATACCTTTGTTAGGCAGGATTCACTTATACGCCTAATCTTGACACATTAAATCTTACTTCCACAAAATTATACTTTTTTTTTAAAACAAGATTAGGCAATTTTAAAAAAGCAAATGTAGAATAGTTATAATTAATATATTTTAAATATATAAATTTTATAAAATAGTAGGAAGATATTGATAACTATACAACAAATATTTAAAAATTTAAAAATTCTTAATTAGTTTAAAAACTACTAGTTCATCTTATTAAAATATGAGGTGCTCAATATTCTTTCAGATAAGATAAGTTGACATGATAAGGTGAATAGAGACAAGAACCATAGGATGATATCAGAGAATAATAGGAGAACTAATTTTGCAGTTTATTAAGTTATAATGTCTACTATATATCCTTTAAAGATTCATACAAACATAAACATATTCATACTCTTTTTTATTATACAAAGATTACTAACTAGTCTGAGGTAATTCCACTTTGAATAATTATTAGTTACACTTCATCTGTACCCGAGCTTAATGGTGAAAAATATGAATTTCAATTATCCTCAATTTCAGTTAGTATGTCTATAACTACATCACATGGGCAGTCTTAAAAAGTCTTCTTTCTGTGTATGGCTGTGGTAGCATAGGAAGATATTTGGTCTTTGCCTCTAGTTCCTGATACAGAGCTTTCAAAAACCCTTAGAATTTACTCAGTGGTAAGGGTGACAGAAGATTGCTTTTTGTTCCAATGAGGCAACTCTTAGTGGTGGTGGCAATGGAGGGGGTCTCTTAGACACCTTCAGGATGGGGGCTAGTTGCCAGAAATACTAAACATTGATTAGAAGTTTAAAACTTTTAACCCCACCCCAACCTCCAAGGAGAGAGAGGAACTGAAAATTGAATTCATTACCAGTAGCCAATGATTTAATTAAACATGCCTACATAATGACACCTAAAAAAACAACACAGAAAACATCCCACTATATAATGGGGTTCAGAGAGCTTTTGGGTCAGTAATCCATCAAGGTACTGTGAAGGTAGTACACCAGGAAAGGGTCAGGCAGCTCCATACACCGCTCCCCAAACCTTGCCTTATGAATCTGCTGTTCCTCAGTTGTATAGTGTATAGCATACTAGTAATAGTAAGTAAAGTGCTTTCCTGAATTCTGTTAGTCTCTCTAGTGAATTATAAACCTAAGTAGATATTCTCAGAACTCCTGATTTATTAGTAGGCACTTGGTCAGAAATGTCAGTGGGCCAGGACTTGCAAATGCTGTCTGTAGTGGAGACAGTCTTGTGGGACTGGACCCTTTAACTTATAAGATCTGAGGCTACTGGAGTTTGACAGTGTCTGAATTGAATTGAATTGAATTGAATTGAATTGAATTCTTGGACAGTTAGTTGGTCTCAAAGAGTTGGAGAAGTGAAGATGTAAAACATACCATGTATTTGGTGTCAGGAGAGAAAAACAACAACAACAAAAGAAAACCATCTCATTTGATGTCAGAAGTGGTGTGAGGGAAAAAAAAAAAATCAGGTCAATATGTTTAATATAGTCTTTGAAGAGAATGTGTTTTCTGCTAGTTCTCTGGACACTCCCATCAATGAATGCAGTTGGTAGGGGGTGGGGAGAGGTCAATGGGAAGTGGAGAGCCATAGAATACAAAATTTAGTTGTTATAAAAAATATCTTGGTTTTACTAAATATTCACAAGAGGGTAAAGCATGTAAAACCAGAACATTTTATATACAAATCCTCACAGAACTCTGAGAAGCCATGCCCTGAATTGAATACAAATGAAAATTTAGTAATGACTCTATCTTTAGGGTAACCTGGTATTATTTATAACTTATAAGGGAATTTTGCCGTTTTTTAGTCACTGTTATACTCTCAGAGCCTGGACATTTGGCTATAATATATCAAGTATCAAAAGAAATCACAAAATATTAGTTGAGTGAATTAATTAATGATTATAAAAATTTTTGAAGCTAAGGAGAAAAGAAATAGGACCTAGATAATTTTCCCTATATTACAAATAATAAAATGTATCCTGTAAAGGTGACCTTCTCAAAATCATAAATCTGGTGAATTTATTAATTAAATTAATAAATTATTAATTAGAATTAAAACAAGAATCCAAATGATCAAAAATAGTATTTATTTTATGTGTTACCACTATACTTTTAAACAAATTTTTCTAGTAAATATTGTTTGATTGGACATA